TTATTTTTTGGAATAAGGCGGGGGGGGGGGGGGGGAAGACAGGCTTTAGTCTTATATTCTCATTCTAAAGAGACCCATGCGTTTGCCTAATTCTACACATGGCAAGTAGTCTTACTAACATGAATGGGATGACGCACAGAATGTAACATTAAGTATAGGCATAAGTCTTCGCAAGTTCTATTAGCTAATCTAAGATATTTACATAACTCCCATTGCCCTAGTACCTCACTTCTCCCCCTCCCCCCAAAATGTACTTATGTACTCCATATGCCTGTGAGATAGGGAAATATCTTCATTTTACACGGAAATATCTTCATTTTACAGATGAAAAAGTGACACAGAGAAAAAGAGAAAGCGAGAAAGTGACTTTGCTCCAGGTCACAACACAGGAAGCCTGAAGAGGAGACAAACTGAATGTGGGTCTCCTGAATGCTTTCGCCACCGCCACTCTTCTGTATAGTTATATCTAATACCTGTATGATTAATAATAGAAAATCTATTATATCTGATACAGCAATATTGAACATTATGTCAGTTGATCAGAAACTGGAATCTGCAGAGGGTACCGTATATTCCGGCATACAAGACGACTTTTGATGTTAAAAAACATCCCCCAAAAATCGGGGGTCGTCTTGTACGCCGGGCATACATCCCAGGCGTGCCTGGGATGCCCCCCCCGCCGGCTTCCCCCGAGGCTTTGAGGATCCTACTTCTACTTCGCGGATTTTCATCTATCGCGGTAGGGTTTGGAACCTATCTACCGCGATAAACGAGGGTTCACTGTAGTTTGGAATAAACACACTTTTCCCAGGGAATGTTAGTCTATATTTTAACTTTCCTTTAGATACATACTATAGTTGTAACAGCAAATCAAAATATCAATTGCATCTCCTTGCAAGTTTTCCATCAGTCTTAGGAAATATCAATCAAAACCATAAAGCTATTCAGCCTCTACTCAATGCCAAAGAGAAATTAAAATATAATTTAATTTATTAAACACATATATGATTCAGATATTTCTGAGGGCAATTAGCTGAAATCTCATGATGTTGCTAAGATTCAACCCAAACAATCAGCTTCTTTCCTACTTTAAGACTGACAGGATGAGATATGGAATCTTTCATCTCTAGGTCACTGGTTCAAATCTGACTCAATCCAGTTATGACAAATAGTTATCTGATGTCTCTTCTGTGATAGATGTGAAATGAGTTAGTGGTGATAGTCCACTTCCTACCTGTTGGTTTCCATGTACAACTACACTGGAGTGCCCACAAAGTAGTCAAAGACTGAATGGAGATGTAAATTTAATTATCCTTGTATTCCTGATAAACTCCTCCTCATATACAGCCTTTTTGTGAACTGTATATGAAAACTGTTGCACCAGCTAAAATCGAGGCCCAGGAGGTATCTCTAGCAGTAGGGGAATCTTCTCACATGCTTCTTGATGACAGTCTTTCACTCAAGAGATGAAGCACAACAGAAGAAAACAAAATATTAAGTCCATAAATATAGGTTTTAGAAGTTCTGAACAAGGACCACAAATAGGAGAAAATATATTCATACTGATAATTCCCATTGTCTTAACCCGCACTCCTGCTTATTCATTCCTCCCACTGTCATTCAGTCTGGATGATCTTGGCACTTCAAGTGAAATACAAGGCACCTGTATCATTATATTTCAACTCCACCATGAAAAGATCTGAAAAGGCTATATTCAATTTCTAGGGAGTTGACTGGTTTTATTTACGACTATATACTTGAGCGAAAGACTGTCAGCATGAAGCTTAGTATGAAAATTCCTCTACTGCTAGAGATATCTCTTGGCCTCAACTTTAGCTGGTGCAATGAAAGGGAAGGTTCCCATGTACAGTTCACAAAAAGACTGTAAATGAGGAGGAGTACAAGGAGCAGCTACCAGGACAAGGAAGACTCCCTTTTACCCATGATATGGGGATGAGGAGGGAGGCAGACAGGTATGAGTGCACAACATTGTACAGAGGTCATAATCAGAAGTGCCAGATTAAAGAATGTGGAGTCTCAGGGTCACCCACCTAAAATCAGTGGTTGGATATGCCCCTGAAATGGGGGCCCTATGCAAGTGCACTGAACGGCCATTGTGTAATCTGGGCCTGATGATTAGGAAGCAGCCTGAGAGAGACTAGTTTAACAAAGAAAGGAGAACGCAAAAGCAACAAAAGGCTACTGGGCTAGTTGGACCTTTGGTCTGACCCAGTACGGCCATTCTTATGTAAGAAGCAATGGGTTTAAATCGCAGCAAGGGACGTTTAGGTTGGACATTAGGAAAAATTTCCTAATTGTCAGGCTGGTTAAACACTGGAATAAATTGCCTAGGGAGGTTGTGGAATCTCCATTTCTGGAGATATTTAAGAGCAGGTTAGCAGACATCTATCAGGGACCGAGGTGGGTTTAGACCGAGGTGGGCAATAATTTTTGGCCGAAAGGGGTTGCTCCGGAAGGGGTGGAGCTTAAACCAGAAGAGGCGGGGCCAGGATGCTTCTGGACTACCTCACCCACAGACCATGATTGATCTGGGGCTGGGGGAGTCCCTTTGCCCTCCCTTCCCACTAGGCACCCATGCCCCTGGCAGGGCAGGAAGAGGCTTCGCATACTTCCCCGCCCCTAGGCTAGTCAGTCCTTGGAGGTGGGGGAGCACGTGACATCTCCTTCCACCCTGCAAGGAGCACATAGCATTTAGAAATGCTGCGTGCTCCTCACAGGGCCGGGGCAGGGCAAAGGAAGCTTCACGCAGCTCCCCCACCCCCAGGCCCTGATTGGCCTGGGGGTGGAGGGAGTACACGAATCCTCCTCCCACCCTACCCCTAGCCTGCAAGGAGCACGCAGCACTTCAAAGTGCTATGCGCTGCTCGCAAGGTGGGAGGAGATGTCACATGCTCTTCACACCCCCAAACCCTGATAGACCTGGAGGTTGGGGAGCTGCACGAAGCATCCTTTGTCCTGCCTCTGCCCTGCGCCAGCATACGGCACTTTGAAATGCTGCGCGTGCTCCTTGTGGAGTCGGGGGGAATACAGAGGAAACTTCACGCACTCCTCCCGCCTCCAGACCAATCAGGGCTTGGCGGTGGGGGGAGCATGTAACGTCTCCTCCCGCTCTGTGAGGAGAGCATGGCGCATCAAGGTTCTGTGTGGTTCTGTGAAGTTTTGTGCGCTCCGCTGCCCCCAGACCTTAATTGGTCTGGAGACGGGGGAGCAGTAGGGCCTATGCAGGCCAGATCAACCCGCTTGGCAGGCCAGATCTGGCCCGCAGAGGCCCTTTTGCCCACCCCATGTCTATATGGTGCTTGGTCCTGCCATGAGGGCAGGGGACTGGACTTGATGATCTCTTGATGTCCCTTCCTGTTCTAGTGTTATATATAGCAGTAAAATGGCTAATTTTGATACATAGAGTTTAGTTTAATACAAATAGTTCTCTATATCAATAAGGCCACCGTGAATGCCATAGGCATTCTCATTTAGTATTGTCATTGTCATGGCATTGGACTAGACTGCTCAATAATCTAACCTGGTATGACAGTTCCTGTATGATGGGACCATCCTAATTGCCTAGTCTTTGTTAACAGAAAATTAAAATGTATCAGGTAAATCTTTGTAATGAAAAAACTTCTCTCAAATAATGAATCTAAAATTGAAAGCATTACATTTAAAATAAAATGTAGCCTTAATATAATTTACTCACCCTGGTAAAGTCCATTAAATTCCCTTTATGTTGTGCCTTAAACATAAAAAAGAAGGATTAAACATAAAATGTCATGTTACTGACTATCATAATTCTTGTAGACCTTGTGCTTCTCTGTAAGCAGCAAAAACAAAATATGTAGAGAGCTATACAATTAATATTTTAAAATTAAATAACTTCCCTAAGATCCTGAATTTTAAAATAACAAATGAATATTTACTAGCAGAATGATATATAGCATAGAGATTTCATTACAACATGAAAAGAGATTTCTATTGGACACAGGCATATCTTTGGATACCTACAATGATCAAATGTTCTGACTATATTTTAAACATTTTAGACATAAGTAACACCTTTCTTTAAAAGTTTTCTGCTCATATAGTTGAGAAAACTCAATATCCTTACTATATAGTGTACTTATGCCAACAATAAATGGACTAGAGAGTTAACAATAAACAAAATAAATAATAGGTCCTGCCAGCTCCTCAAAAAAGAACTAAACCCGACCAGGAACAGCTTGCATGTAAACAGAAGGGAAAAGTCTAGACTTGGTCATTTTAAAAAGATAATGTCAAAGCAGGCAGACCTAAAATTAGACCTCCCAGCTGTGTTTCGGTGGGGAATCATGCATATACACAGTGATCAGTGCTGTAGCACCTTAGAAACTGCTCGTTGTTTTTAAAGTTACACCCCTCCAATCGTATACACAGTGTCATCCCTTTGCTCATTCTCTGTTCTGAACTTATAAATAATCAGGTTTCAAAATATACAAGAATCTTTTCTAACATGTTCCAGAGAGGATCACACTTGGATATTTTAAAATGGTTCCAACTCATCGTAAACCAAAACAGATGCAAGATATGCTGGAGCCCAACACCTTGAATTTTGTCATGGGGGGGTCATGCAGAGAACTGCATTTTGCATAGCATGTGCATTTTCTATATACAAAAATACTTCTTACCTTGGACACACATGTTTGTTTCTCACTCAGTGGCTGCTAATGCTAGATTCAGAGCATTCCTGATCAGCTACCCCAAAGCCTTTTCCTGTGATCAAACTCATTTTTATCATTGTTGCCTTACCCAACTCCAGTAGTCCCCCTCCTGGAGGGAGAGGGGGGAGGCTATGTAGCAAAGAGAAGACTCCTAGCCCTTTATTCTCCTCCAGGAAAGATTGCAAACCCCAGTTAACAGGGCAGGTCTCATCCTAAGCAGGGGGGAAGCGGAATGGAACCACCCCCTCCCAATCTTCTGGAAATCTACTTGAGAAATGCTGACACAGAGAACAAAAGGGGCCAGGCAACTGGAATAAGGAGTAGACTGAAGGAATGGACTGAGAGAGGAGCACTTAGGTGGTCACTGTGGCTTTGAAAGAGACACTGATAACAGATTTGTAAGATAATTAATTAATTTTGGATGGGGGGAGAGAAAGGAGGAGAGAGAAAAGGGATACATTTTGAGGTGGAAGGAAGGAAGGTGGAAAAACAATCCACTGATAAATTCTAGGGAGATTCAAATGATTAATGAATCGGGAAGGGAGAGGGAAAAGAAAATAATTTGATTGTTGGGGAAGCAAAAATAACTAAGGAATTTGGCAGGGAAAGAATTGATGAACAGGTAAATGTTGATTAATTGCAAGATAACTGATTTGAAAGGTAAGGGGGAACTACCTGGTGTTTGTGGGAAAAAAGTATGAAGTATGTGTGAGAAAGAGGTCAGGGTGAAGTGTGCAAATGTGGAGATCTAGGATCACACACAAGCAAGTAAATCCATGAGAATGAGCAGGCAGTATCAGTGTCACGATGAGCATCACAGTGTGCTTGTGCAATTGGGGCAAAGGATGAAATGGGTTACTAACCCTTTTCTCCTGTAATTGTGGTTAGTTCTTTGCTACATGTTGCACATGCCCATTCCACTGGTGGTGTATAAGTGCCCAATGCACAGTTGTCAGATTTTTCCTTCAGTGGTACACATTTGCACAACCCATCCACCAGTGTTTCCTCTAAACTTCCCATACATGTGTGGATTTTGTCCATCCATGTGCAGAATAAATTTCTTTTGTGTACCAAAGCATGTGTGAATGCACCACCAATAGAAAAAAAAAAGCTGTGGGAACTCTACTAATTAGCTGTGTAACATCTGAGTCTCTTCTGAGCGGTCACTCAAGCGCACAACTTATAGGGAACACTGCCAAGCACCTCTTTTATCTTGCAATTTTGTACACATTTATAAAGCATGGATTTGACTCAGATCCCCTCAATTCCTTCACTGAGAGTGGAAGAAAGGAGGGCAGGCTGGGGAATGGACACACACAACACATTTAGTAGAACAGTGGTTATGGAAAAGAGGTTAGTAACCATTTCTTCTTTGCATGATTGAACATATCCATTCCACTGTAGGTGACTCACAAACAATTCAAACTGGAAGCAGGTTGGAGTCTATTTAAAGAGAGAACAGAGAGCTACTTGGCCAAATCTAGCATCATCTCTGCATTGCTGAGAGGTGGTTCAGTAAGAGGTAAATGTATAGCATGGTGACCAGGTGGAAGCCTTAAAAGATCCAATATGGGAATGTAAGCCAGAAAGGCTGCAGAAGTTGCCTGAGTTGCAGTTGTATGGCCAAACGTTACTTGGATGTGTCACTGTGATCTAGGGTGCCTGGCACAGAGCTCACTGGAAGTGCCAAGATCAGGGTAGGTTGCAAAAAGGAGAGTAGATGCTCTGAAGATTGGTGGGTAACACTGAAGTTGGGAGATGGAGGCAAAGAGGAGGAGGAGGAGAAGAAAGGAATCACAGCCCCACGGCCCCCTTATTGCATTCCAGTTCTCTGGCTACCAGTAGAGTGAGAAGCTATTTTAAAACTCTGCATACATACACAAAATGTTCTTCTGAGCCATAAAGGCCACACTGCCAGGTCAATGTTAAGTTGGGCCTTACCCAAAATAGCAGACTGATAGCCAACAGATTAAAGCAAGGTTGATGAAAAAGCAAACAGAAAGAAAAAGAAAAAAGTTGTTAAATGATAAAATAGTCACATACATACAAAGACTTCAAAGTCCATATATCTGGTTTTTCGGTTGAAAGTCCCTCTGGGACACATCTGCAGCTTGAATTGATCATTCGATGCTTTGTTTGTAGAAAAGTTATTCCATAGGAATATAAAAGCAGAACTGAAGATAAAATTGAGATGATGCACTTCCATATGTCTAGTACTTCCCTTGTTCCAAACACAAACTTCACAGCATATGGAAAGGCTTTAGAGTTCTTTGTACAAAGGTATACCCCTATATGACTTGCTGGCTCACCAGGTATAGCTGCAGGTCTTTTAATGGATGTATTACAGAGCTAAAGTCCTTCATGGGCCATCAAGAAGGCTAAGCAGTGCTGATGTCAATCTGTCTAGGAGTGTTACCTAGATACACAGCACGTGTCTGGAAATACAGATATAGCCTACACATTTATAACTCATAATACAAAGCTGATACAAACATATACACATGATTATATTTGGCAAACTGTAACATTTTCACTCATACTTCACAGTCATGATAGCCACCTGGTAGCCTAACCAAATACAATTGGATATCCATGAAGAAATCCTTTGGGTGGACACTGAACAGCCTGTCAGCTATTGCAATGAACAGTTGCACTGAAGACCTAAATCGTTTAGTTTGAGCCAGGTAAAAAGCCAGAGCTCTAATGTCCAGATTTCCTAATCTTTATGCATATGTGGCTTTGGGAAGAAGGTTGGTAAGTCAGTTGCTTCATTAATGTGAAAACTGGAAATCACTTCAATAAGAAACTTCAAGTGAGGGTAAAGTAACTTTGTCTCTATAGAAGACCATATATGGAGGTTCTGATACTAGAATGTGTAATTCCTCCACTCTTCTTCAGGTTGAAGTAATAACAAATTAAAAAAGCCACCTTCATTGAAAGGTGTAGCATGGGATGGGATGTCAGCAGCCCAACAGTGTGATCCATCATCTTTGCTAAAACTAAATTCAAACTACTGTATATGGTGGAACAGGATCCTGTACCTGTAGCTATAATTGCTACACAACTTTAAAAAAATTTGACAGACACTGGATTGAAAGAGAGAGTGAATGGTTATAAACAGGAGGATGGATAAGTGAGATAGCGATTCATTGTACTCTGATGGAACTGACAGTTACCACTTGTTTCAATAGAGGTAGTCCAATACATGCTAGCTAGGAGGCCAGGCTGAGGAAACACGCCTTTCTGCCAAGACCAGATATAGACTCTTCCTTTTAGCAAGGCAAGAACTCCTAGTCAAAGGTTTTCTACTATTTAGAAGCACTTCCTGTGCTTGTTTAAAACAAGGCCCTTCCAAAGATGTCAGCCATGAAGCATCCAGGCAGTGAGGTAAAGGTTGGGATGGAGGAGGTGGCTATTGTCTTGAGACATCACATCAGCATTAGTGGGAGCGATAGCAGAGCTCTGCCTGACAGGACTACTAAAGCTGGAAACCAGTACTGACAGAGCCTCACTAGTGCTAGGAATATAAGGTATATTCAATCTTGTTTGATTTTGCATAAAACTTTGGGCAATAGTTGCAGTGTTTCCCAAATGGTGTTCCGCAGAAACCCGGGGTTCTGCAAAGTGAAAATAAGGGTTCCGCGAGAAAATTCCATTACAATAACATTTTATGGATTTTAAAAAATAATATTATGTGATTTTTGTTTTTAAATATGTGCAATTAAACTAAATGTTGATCTCATGACCTTGTTTAGCATTTGTTTATTATTATCCTTACTTACTTGTGGTCTACTTTTCCAGCTCCATATATTAGACTGTTATTAGGCGTTCCGCAAAATTCTTTCGAGTTTAAAAGGGTTCCATGGCCAAGTAAAATTGGGAAACACTGCAATAGTGGAACAGGACCAAAGCATACAGCAGACTGTTTGACCAAGGTGGCAGGAAGGCATCTGTAAAAGAATCCTGTCCTTGGAGCAGGGCTTAAGCCTCTTACAAATGTGGCATTTGTTACTAACACGAGCTTCCCTCAAGCACTTAAGACAGCTGGAGTGTGGGTTGTTGACAGGCATAGATTTGCTACATAGGCAATGGACTTGCAGCCCAGAGACCGAGGTATGACTTTGGTACCGGCTCCAGCACAATTATCAACCACTAATCTAATTCTAATACAAAATCTGAACTATGATAAAACTCTCAAAACTAACCAATGAATACTACGTACAAGAAGAAATGAAGGACTTGCAAAGGCAGCTCCAGCAACTGTCATAGGGCGCAAGTGAGAGGATTTGGAGGAGGTTCTGTCATTAATAGCTGCACACAATTGTGAGAGGCAAGAGTGGATAGGAATGCTAAGGGAAAAATAGAAATGCTAAAGGAAAAATCTCTGACAACTGTGCACTGGGTACAGAAGCAAAAACTGACTGTGTTAGTAAATGTACTGACAATTCTGCAGGATTCACCCAGCCCCTCCACCCTCCTTCCCAAAGTACTAAGTCCAATTCTGGGGACCACATTTTAGGGAAAATTTGGATAAATCAGAAGAGACAATTGACAAAAATTATAAAAGTTTTAGAAAACCTGAAGTATGAGTAAAAGGGAAAAACATGGGCATGTTTAGTCTTGACCAAAGAAGACTGAATATTCAAATATGTTATAAACTCTTATAAAGAGGGATGATGGTCAAGTGTTTTCCAGGTCCAGTGAAAGTAGGATAAGTGATAATGGACCGTAGCAAGGGAGATTTAGATTAATTGTTAGGAAAAAAGTTGTAAGTAGGGGGAGTGGTTAAGATCTGGAATAGGCTTCCAAGAGAGGTTATGGAATCCCCATTACTGGAGGGTTTTAAGAACAGGTTTGACCTTTCAGGGCTTGTCTAGGTTTTCCTCAGAGCAAGTGGCTGGACTTGATGACCAAAAGCAAACAAACACCCAACAACCCCTTTTACCAATCTATTTTGCTTTAGTTAGAATTGCTTCAGTGCATGCATAATTTCTCTTTTTAATTTAAAAAGAATTAATTAGTGGACAGACGGAACTGGAATTCTGCAATCTATTCTAGATTCTGCAGATGGGAAATTGCATTTAGAGGGTAATGGTATTGTCACAGCCCAGTTTATGAATGCTTTTGAAACATATTCATCCAAATCTATTTATATTCCACACATACAGGAGTCTGTGTCAAAGCTGCAGAATTCCAAGACACTTAGTCATATGCAGAATTACCATTCTCTAACTTTTAAAATGACAAAGCTTCAATTTGGTTAGAAAAAAATGTATTTTTTCTCTATGAGCATAAGGTTAATTTTGCCTCTGAGAAAAACCTCTATACTGAGACTATGCCTCTTTGCCCACAGCACATGAAGGTAGGCTCAGAATTGTCAGTCATAACTGCAGAACTACTCATAAGCCCCATGCTAGGCCTCTATCCCTATGTTTTACCTTCAAGCTGAACAGCAGAAAAGGCAGCAACGGAGCTCCGATCTTGAATGTGACTTTCTGGTGCTTTAGTTTACAGTGTTATCACTCTTTCATTTTCTAAATTACTTCTGAAGGGCAATTAATTTAGCAATTATAATTTGATTCTTCATGACTTCATCTTCAGGCACCAAGGTGGCCAACATGTCTAAGGAGGACAAACTACAGAGGCAGATACAACTACAATGTTACAGGGAAAGGGATATCTACATCATCAGAACCCACATGCTGAAATCATCAGCATGAAGCATCCCAGACTGATACTAATAAATCTTTGCTCCACATTACCTCATTCCTAACATAAATCTTCCTGGCAAGGGGGAAGACTTGCACAACTAGGGTTAAACCCTGGGAGGGTGTTTCCCAAGACAGTTTAGACATGGTGAACCCATGCAACTGATGTAGGTTCGCTGGATGGTGCTAAGTCTTGCCTTTCTTTTTGGGTCGGTCCTACTTGTTCTTGTCCTCTTTCTTGTGTCATTATTATTACTTCTTTAGCCCCAGTCATGGACCAGAACCCCAGAGTTCTAGACATAGAGAAACAAACAAGTTTGGATTACACTGTCATCTTGTTCTTATCCATTAATCTACTAAGGAATTGCTAGAGGAAAAGGGAAATTTGCATTCAAGAAGCTGAGAACTAATCTCCATGTTTTCAGGACAACAGTCAAAGAATTACTGAATGGCTGGGGGATGGGATTTGCCTCTATATCCCCTTTCTTTAAGTAATCTTTGCTTCTGTGTTTCTTCATAGATGGCCCCATAACACTGAGTCTAGGGTTTTCCAGACACTGGGGGAAGAGGGAGACCAAAGACCAATCTAAAAATTATTATAACACTCCAAATTCACTTTAAACTGAATTTATAACTTACCTCTCTAATTTGCTTTATCCAGGCCTCCCTTCCAAGGAGTTCCTGATGCAGGACTACAGGGGCAGAATTTAAACTAAAGGCCACAGAGTCACTAGATTTTCCTTTAATAAATGGCTGGAGGTCCGAGTGTAGCTGCAAGAGAGGATGAAAAAATGTGTGCTAAATAAAAAAAGACTGAAACACATGTTTTATAACATGTCAGACAATGACAGCCTTAGGCTTCTGCTGTCACATCAGCTACATGTAATCCTGCTTCTCTAGAAGCCCAGGCCTACATACACATATTCAACCTCTCTCCAATTTCATGTCCCTCTTCTGCTTTGAGAGATGTACTTTGGTTCCACCTCCTACCTTCTAGCTCCCATACTGGGGGAATGATGGTGGTTGTTTACCAAAGTTCGCAAAAAAAGGGTGAGGGACATTTTGCCATATCTGGGAAGGAGTATGAAGTCGTCAGGTGAGTAGCAAGGTGCGGGGGGGGAGAAAGAGAGTTGTTACTGTTAGTACATGTTAGTAAGAGTGACCCAGTCATTTAGGGGAGGATACTGTTCTTTACAATTGTGGGTGGTAAAAGAATTATTTTCCATTTCCAAGGACCTATGGGAGTTACTTGATGTATACATTTCTGATACACTGAGTATTTAATAAACAGTAGTTTTCTGTGACAAGCATATGGCTCTTCATACATATTTGCCAACACTGGCAATAATTTCAAGTGGTTATATTTAAAGTACCAGTTAAACTCCAACCCAAAAAGAGGCTCAAAGGAAATATAATAGAAAGATTCTTATCTGCCCTTTCAGGAGAAGACTGAACATGGAGAAAAGGCATACCTTATGGCTCATAGACATGTGCTTTCCATACTGAAATGCCATATCCTGGATCTCAGCATCATGCTTTGCTAATTCCATTGCAGCCTGGCAGCTTTTTGCCAACAAGGCACTATGGGATAAGAAAATCTGTTTCTTCCAAGTTGATATTCCAATATCATGTGTAAGACAGTTTTCCTGAAATGAAATGAAGACTAAATTGAGAATGCTGAAACTGTGACAATATCAAAGACAGAAAATTAAAAAACATAGCTAGGCCTCCTAGGAAAACTACCATCTACTGTAAATTCCAACATTGTGGACTTGAATGTGTCATGCAAAGCAGTCACTGATGGACAAGGTGAAAACTTTACAGCAAGTTTTAGCTGTGGAATTGTAGAGCTGCTGCTGCCACAAAAAATTAAAGTGGGTAGAGACCTCCAAAGGTATAAATACCTGTGAAGGATGTTTTGGGGATGTTTCTTTTTTCCTTCTTTATTATAAATAAGCAAGACTTGAAAGATTTTTTAATTAGAAATATTAGGAAAATCAGGCCTGAATTCCCCTGGAAGACTCTACTAGATCTCACAAATGTTTATTGTGAGCTATAATGCCCAAACTATAGGATCAAAGATGCTAAACCTTTAACAAAGGCTTTTTTTATTCAAAATAGTTTCTGAATTTATATTTTAATGAGACCAAAAGAAAAAATTATCAGTTTTAAGCAATCTGACTAAAATACTTTTCTCCGGTCAAATGTTCAACTTTAACTCTCTTGGCTTTTGTGACATCAACCATTTCATTAGTCAGGGTCACCTCAAGGCTAGACAAAACCTGAAATTCTAATTTATTTTTTATAAATACACACACATACACATACACACACACACACAGACACACACACACACACTGTCAGACTTTTATGAATTGAAAAGAAACAAAAAAGTTCTCTCAAAACCCAGGATTTTTTCAGGTCCCCTTTAAAAAGGGGAAGAAAATACAGATTACAAATGAATGGATGCAGATAAATGGTTTCAAAATGTAAATATTAAGCATCATATGTAATTTCTCAATACACTAAAATGTACAGCACTGACTGAGCCAAAAGGGAAAATTTTACAAAGTGAGAAAAGAAATTAAAAGGCTCTCATCTAACAACACCCTTCCCCTAAAGTTACTTCAATTACATCACTTAAAAAAGAATAAGAACTAAATCTATGTGACCCCATAATTTTCTACCAGGTATTATCTGTCATTAAATTGGTAACAAATGAAATAAAATCCCTCTAATTCAGCTCCAATCTTCCTCCCTTGTGAATACGGGCAAGGAGTACTGTGTTACAGGAAAATATATAATACAAGATTGATGGGAAAAGCAGAAGAATTTACTACAACGCCAAGTAACCAAACACACCCCTCCCTTTTATACAGAGAGGGAAGAACATGTTTTCCAGGATGTATGTGATGACAATTTACAAAGTCAAGATTAAACTAAGTAGGTCTCATTTTACTATGATATTTACTTTTCTAACGCCTTAGTTCAGCTCAGAACATATGCAAGCTCAGAACATATGCAAGTTCCTATGACTGGCAGAATGACAAAAATATAAATAAGAACTGGTACCAGAACTAAATGCTTGGTCATTTTTTCACTCATAGGTCAGTTTAAAATAATTTGCAGATGAAGTTCTAGGAAGTTATGACTTGATTTTTTTTACTCAAGACCAACCAAGATAAAAACGTGTGCTTAATAAAGCTTATTGGATGAAGCTTAGGACACGAAACTAGCAGTGATTTTGTAATTATTTATTTTAACCATCATAAAAACAGAAGTAAAAGTTTAACAAAAACAACTGTTTATGAAGTTACGAAGTTAAAATTTAAAGTTACAGAGTTAAAGTGTTAGCTGTACCAAGCCTTAGAAATATTCAAATACATATTGTGACATCATTTGTGAACTACAGGTACTGAACAGACTCTACTAACCTTACTCATGGCAAATAATTCTACAACATTTTCCAAAAGTGTCATATTTCACATAAAAATGCAGAAATAATTAATATTTTGTGACCTGATTTAAAGTCTTGAAAACATTTGAGAAAAGTGTAAACTCAGAATAAGTTATAATATATAACACATTAATACAATGTGAGTTGGTAGATACTGATACAGATAAACTCCCTCTCAGGGGTGTCCTCTTTTCTGAAAGTTCAAATATGGTAACTCTATATTCTGAATTTGTATAATTTTATCTTATATTTATTTGGGCAATACTTATATTATTGTGGGCAAGATTTCATAAGATGAACTAATTTCTGCTCAGCTTTCTGTAAATCCAGAGCAACTCCATTGAAACCAGTGAAATTTTTATCTATTTACTAAGACAAGATCAAATTTGTCCTTAAAAAATTATTTTGGATACTGATCTTTTAAAGATACAGATTTTTTTAATGTGCAATTTTTCACTTTTTGTGCTTAAATGTGGAATTGTAAAAAAGTTGTTAGAAAGATCTAGGCAAAATCTTAATATTTAAAAATTCACCAATATTGCACTGCTTGCATTACAGGCACTTAGAAAAAACGTTCACTACTTTGCTGTTTACTTGATATTTAAGAAAAAAAACAATAAAATACCACACAGCTTTTGTGTACCGTATTTTCCGGCGTATAGGGCGACTGGGCGTATAAGACGACCCCCTATCTTTTTAATTAAAAGATAGGGTTTCATCTTATACCCCAGCGCCCTTCCGCCTCCTTTGCTCCCGGTGTCCCTGGTCTGCTGGAGATGGTCCCCAGCAGACCAGAGGCACCGGGAGCAAAGCCGCCAGGAGCGCCTGGGGTGCCCCCCCGCCGGCTTCCCCCGAGGCTTTCAAAGCCGCGGAGGGGCTCCGGCGGGCGGGCAGCCCATGCGCGCCTGGGATGCCCAGCCGCCGGCTTCCCCCGAGGCTTTCAAAGCCACGGAGGGGCTCCGGCGGGGGGGGGGCCAGGGGCCTCTGGCGGGGCTT